CATGCGGGTGTGTTGGGTGTTATTTGGGGGCTGGAGGGATCATTAATGTGCAAATCGAGGTAAGGACAGACGAGGGGTTGCTTCTCCCAGCCTGGTTCACTAGGGCGGTCCCTACGTGGGACCCCTTTCTCAAGCCCGCCGCGCTCTCCCCGCCTCTGGCCGGGCTTCCCCTTCGGAGCCACAGTTCTGAGCGAGAAGCGCCTTCTCCCTGGACGGACCCCGGGCTCAGCGGCGCCCCGGCTCCGCCAGCGGCTGCAGGGAGCCCGGCTGTGGTCCCTGCTCACCTGGCGCCTCCGCTCCCGCCCCTCAGCATCTTCGGGCAGGAGGATCCTCGTGCGGCAGCGGCGGGAGGATGCGGACGCCGTGCCGGGAGGCGGGGAGGCCGGGAGGCCGGGGACGGAGGCGGCGTCAGCAGACTGGGTGCGGCCCGGGATCGGGTGCGGCACTGGGAGTTCTCCAAGGTGCTAAAATAAACCCAGAGAAGGATCAGGTTTCCAGACCGAAATAACCCAGGAGCAGCCTTAGAAATGCGAACTGAGAAAGCGATCCGGGGCAGGAGCGCCTGGGGTGGGGAGCGGGTGATGAAAAATGCTTTTTGCAGGGCTGCCTCCCCGTCCTGGCAGGAGACCCCGCCGCTGCCCCTCCCTCCTCTCCCCTCCAGCTGTGCCTCTCCGCAGAATGGAGCTTCTCACCCGCTCCCCTCCCATCGCTTTCCCTTCTGGGGTCATTACATGGAATAAATGGTCTGCTCTTGGCCATCCGTCTTGACAGCAGTGTTAGTAGTAGATAAGAGCCCAGGCTTTGGAATCAGACAGCCATTCAGTCAATAAATATTTAGTGAGTGCCTACTATGTGTCACACACTGCCTGGCTTCTAGTCCCACAAGTGCACCAAGAGACAACAGTCCCTGACACTCTGCTAGGAGGACACAGGCCGTGATCAAACAGAGTAATCAAGTAAGTAGCCTGTGAGCAAGGATGTTGGCCAAGGAACAAGGGGGATAGCAGGAGAGGGTAACTGGTATTGGGGTGATGTTTGAATCCCAGGGAACCCCCTGGCTCGCTCCATGGCCCAGAGAGAGTCCCTTCACCTCTGACCTTTGGTGTCCTCATTTGTGCGGTGGGGTCAAAAAGCCTGTCTATGAAGTTGCTGTGACAGTTAATAGACACACACTTAGCCCCAAGACTGACACAGAGCAGTGTTAAGTACAAGTTCATGATAAGTATGCTGAGTAGCAGAATATCTGCCTTAAACATTTAAAGACAACAAATAACAAGTGTCTGCAATGTACGAGTGGCTCAAGGTTCCGGAAAGCTGCCGGAAAACCTCCCTGCTCTCAGGAGAGAGGCGGTGGACCCAGGTGGTTGGGGCAAGGGTGGAGTCACTTCATCCTTACCACACCCCTCTCTCAGCCATGGGTGGTGCTAGAATAAGGGGAGTTATGTGGATCAAGGGCCAGGTGGGGCCATGGTTCGGGGGAGCCAGGTGGTCTGCCGACACGGGGCCACCTCAGAGCCATCTTTGCACTTCCCACTGGTCCTGGCAAGGGCTCTGGCACACAGGAGGCCTCCAGAAGTGTTCCAGGAGTGAGTGAGTGAATGAGTGAGTGGCAGAGGAGGCCAAGCAGGCAGGCAACGGAGAAGCCGTGGGATGCACGGCCAGGAAGACAGCCCGTGGGCTCAGAGTTACAGGGACCTGCCGGCCCACATCCTCACTCTGGCCTTGCCTGACCAGCTCTGGGGCCTCACAGGTGACGCCACCACTCCAGCCTTCTCTTCCTTGACTCTAACCTGGGAAAAGTGTGGTTAGACTTGCCTTGTGAGCTAGAAGTGACTTCGCCCCTGTCCTGGCACTGCAGTAAGTGTTTCAGGACGACCCATTGGATCTCATGGGGATGTGTCGGAGCACAGTGTTGGATCTGATACTTGCCACTTTAGCCACTTATTTATATTCTGCTTCAGGGCACAGGGGTGTATGTATAAGGATGTAGCTGTGCCAGAATAGTTTTGAATAGTCACAAAATGAAAACAATCTACATGTCTAATAACAGGGAATTGCTTACATAAATTATGGCCCAGCCACATGACAAAATGCCAAGCAGTCATTGAAAAATGATGGGTTGTCATGGACACAATGCCCGGTTTATATTGTTACGTGAAAAGGGTAGGTTATTTTTTTAAAGGGCGTGTAATGCAATGATATTTTAAAGTGCATATTTGTTTATATACATAATATACATAGATAGGGTTTCTTTAATATATATTCTTTCTGATTATTAAAGTAATACTTAGTTGTGAAATATTTCAATAATTGGAAATGAGACAGGTGAGAATTCCTTTATAACCTGACCACCCTCATGTTAACAGTGGTGGTCTCCAGACCATAGGATTACACCTGTATCATCTGTATTTATTGTACTTACTATAATATTTTAACAGCAAGAAAAAAATAAAGCTAGTGATAAAAGTATATTGTTTTTATAAACTGGCTAGTTATTTCTTGGATATGAATGCTACCTCCCCAGCTAGACTATAAGAAGAGATCAGTGAAAGCATGGATTCAATGAATAAATGAATTCTAAGACTTTTGAGATGTGGGAATGTGTGCCCTGTGGTGGGTGCTCATAAAGGGATGGCACCTGCTTCTCAGCTGCCTGAGGATGTAAACAGGGTAACCCCACCTTGCAGATGGGGATCCTTTCACCCCATACTCTCACCAGCCCCCTGAGAGGGAAACAGAGGCCAGGAGTGCTGGCAGGGCTTGCCTGTGATCACTAAGGTAGAGGTAGCTGAACCAGGGTTTGAACCTGGGATCGTCCTAGTTCAGAGCCCACTCTTCACCGCTCCTGGGCCAAAGTCCAATTGGATTCCATGGCCCTTCCCAACATGGAGCCCACTGTAGCCCTCAGAACCTGCTGGCAGCTCTTGCCGGACGAAGATGCTGACACAAGCTCTGGGTATTAATAGCCCCTATCTGGGCTGGGCTCCTCTGCCCCTCCTGAGATCAGCCCGGGTCATGGGCCCCACTCAGCAAGAGCAAGAGCTGGGTAAGTGCCCTGATGGAGACCTGAGCAGGCACGTCCAGGTCCCCGTGGTCTGAGACATCTGAGTCTGGAGGTCCTTGTGTCCCACCCCAGGGACTTCTTGGGAACTGGGCCTCACCTCTTTTAGGTTTCACCTCCTCTAAGCCTCAGCTTGCTCATCTGTGAAATGGGGATGACATCATGACTTCCAAGGAAGGTGGGTTATATGGTGTCAATAAACTAAAATATGTGGAGAGCTCAGTGTACTGCCCGCCACCCATGCGTTCTGTGTGTATATTCATGTATGTCTGTCCAGGGCCCAGGATGAGGCAGCACAGGTCCTCATGGCTACACCCAGGAGGGTGGAATGTGGCACCATCTGGGACGTCCTTCTCTGTGGCTGCATGGTCTGAGTGGAACGCTCTGGAAGAAGAGTGCCAGGGACTCCACAAGAAACCCCAGACAGAGCTCCTGTGTCTGGCTTCACACCAGCCAGGTATGGGGTGGGGGCTGGACCTTGGGGGTGGGGCCTTCTGAACGGGGCAGTCAGAGGGAGAGAGGACTTTGCTACGCTTGTTAAACAGGATTCATCCTGACCCATAGGCTTGAAGGCTCACTATGTGGCTGGGACCCTGCTCAGCATCTTACAAGCATCATCTCATTGACTTCACAACACTCTTGGGAGGTGGACACTAGTATTCCCAGGTTACAAGTGGAAAAGATGAGGCTCAGAGAGGCCAAGTGACTTGCTCAAGGGCCCACAGCTAGTTGATGGCAGAGCCCCAGGTCATACCCCATCTGTCTGACTCTGGTCCCCCTGGGCTGGTCCCCTGTGACCAGAGAGCATTCACCCCCATCCCAGGCAGCTTCCTGTCCTTGGGAGGCTCTGGACCAGTATGTGGGAGGCTGTGGGGTGGGTCTGGGGCTTCAAGGGTGAGCTCCATGCTTGGAAGGACTCCTGCCTTCACCCTGACTGGGCAGACAGGCCTTGGCTGCTGTGAGTCACAGGACTGGGGCATTCACCCCTGACTCTGTGTGTTGCCCTAAACCAGTGGCTTCCCTTGGACACCAGGCACAGTCAGCCCTGTGGAGACTGGCTTCCTGCACTCATCCAGGTGGGTGCAGGGAGGCCTGACTCCAACCCCAAATCCTCAGCTGGGCCCTCTTGGCCGCCCCTCTCTAGGGTTGCAGCCTCTCTTGCCCCCATGCCTCATGTTGTGTAGGCTCTCCCTTGCCCGGGGCCTCTCGCCTGCTCTTCCTTCCCGGGGAAAGCCCTCCACGACTCCCAGGCCAGGCCTGGGCCCTGTTCTATGATTCTGCAACACACCTGCACACTTGCAAACATTCTCACGTGTCATTCTTTTAATCCCTGCTGAACGAGGAGCTTCCCGGGCACAGGGACGCTGTCTGTCCCGTTCGCTGCAGTACTCCAGGCACTGAGCACGGGGCCAGGAGCTCAGTAACTGTTTCCGGGTTTCCTGAAGCTGCTGTAGGGCTCCAGTCCTTCTCAAAACTCTGGGCAGTGGAGGCAGCCTCCAAGGGGCAGATCCATTACCACCAATTAATTACCCCTCCCTCTAATGGAAATCAAGTCTTCCATTTGATTGAACTGCACAGGCACCAAAGCCAAATTCAAGACTGATTGCAAATTTAAAAAGCCCCAGCCCACCAGCTTACTGAGATGCTGTCACAGAGGGGAGGGGCTGGGCCTGGCCACAGTGGACCCAAGATGATGCTTTCAGTGACATCATTCACTCCATCTGGTGCCCGGAGAGACCTTTGGCCTGGACTCCACTGTTCAGTTTGTGGGACCGAGTCCGAGCTGCCCAGGCCAGTGGGGCAGGCAGGCCTGGTCCCCAGGGGTCTGGCTTGCTCAGAGGGAAGCTTGTCAAAGCAGGGGATAGCACCTGGGGGCTGGCCTCTGGGCCCCTGGCCCCAGGCACAGCCGAGGCCAGAGCAGCAGGAGGACTACATTTCCCAGAGTCCCCCAAGCCCGGGGAGTGAGCCATTGGAAGATTTAAATAGCCCAGGCCCGAGGCTGCCAGGCCTCAGCTGTGGACTCGTCCGCCTCCCGGGTGGCTCCATTGGTGCTGGCCCGCACTGGGGGGCTCGATTGGCTGCCCAGCTGGCACTGACATCCCCCCGAGCCTGGTGGCAGCCGGAGGTAAACAGCATGTGCAGTCCTGCACTCTATATTTAACAGCTGCCGCAGAGCAGGCAGGGAGGCAGGGCGTAGTGGCGGCTGCCGGGCTCGCGTCTTTGGGGAGAAGGCCCTCACAGCCAGGCTGGCACCGGCCCTCGCCGTGTGAGCATCGCCATGCCTGCCTCCCAGAGCAGGGCCCGGGCCCGGGATCGCAACAACGTCCTCAACCGGGCCGAGTTCCTGTCCCTGAACCAGCCCCCCAAGGGGACCCCGGAGCCCCGTTGCTCCGGCAGGAAGGCCTCAGGCCCCTCGGCGCAGCCCCCACCCCCTGGCGACGGGGCCCGTGAGCGGCGCCAGTCACAGCAGCTGCCCGAGGAGGACTGTATGCAGCTGAACCCCTCCTTCAAGGGCATTGCCTTCAACTCCCTGCTGGCCATTGACATCTGCATGTCCAAGCGCCTGGGGGTGTGTGCCGGCCGGGCCGCGTCCTGGGCCAGCGCCCGCTCCATGGTCAAGCTCATTGGCATCACGGGCCACGGCATCCCCTGGATCGGGGGTACCATCCTCTGCCTGGTGAAGAGCAGCACGCTGGCCGGCCAGGAGGTGCTCATGAACCTGCTTCTGGGTGAGTGTGTCCACTGCCCGCCACCTGCCCCACCCCGCCCCAGCCAGGACCAGCGGGGCCCTCAGAAACCGACTGGAACAGTCTAATGAGGTTAGGCAGGAAGGGTGCCCCAGAAACCGGCCAGGCTCCGGCTCGGGGAAGAGAGAGCTGGGATGAGCAGACCAGGGTCCCCTGCAAAGTGGGGGCCTTAAGGACACCGGGGCCCAACGGGAACCTCTGAGGAAGGGCCTGCTCTCGGCAAGTGCACCGCTGCCCCAGGGGCAGCTCAGAGCGAGGGTGCTGGAGGCCGTGGCCCCGAGGGAAGTGGACAGGAGTCTAGCGGGTGCTCTGGAGTGGGGTACCTAACCCTTAACCCCCACCCCATGGGTTGGGGTCTTTGAGGTCCTAGGCTGCTTGTAGACAGCACGTGGGAGCTGCTCCCATGCCCCCTCTACCCCTACTTGGCTCAGGGACTCTGCAAGCCGCCCAGGATCCTCCCACAGGGCGTGGGGGTTACAGGGGTCCAGTCTGGGGCTCCCACCCACTCGTGACCTCTGGGAGTCCTTACCTGGTGCTTCCCTAGGTGAGTCGCGGGAAGAGAGGGCCTAGTGAGCTGGTCTTTGGTTTGTTTTTGCAAAGTCTTTGCCACCAGCATCTTTCATTTAGCGCTGCCTTGTGTCAGGTGCCATGTGGGACCCATGTAGAAGGCCAGCCCTCCCTTCTACCCACGAGGTGATGCCTAGCTCCCATCTAGCCCACCCTTCAGGCACCTCCAGATCCCCAAGGTGCTCGGGGAACCTCTGCTCTAACCTCCGTCCCGGGCCATGTTGAGCTCCTGACCCTCCCAGCGCAGACACCATTTTGGGCTCAGGCGCCAGATGGGGTGGGGGAAGGTGCCTCAGGCTAAGCAAACACTGACAAGGGTCCCAGTTCCAAAGCGCCGTGGATTGGACCCCGGAGAACTGCCCTCCTGGAGGAAGTAACAACAATGTGTATCTCCCCTCTCAGTTCTCAGAGAGTCTGGGGCTGGACACTCTGTTGAGGGGATGTGGGGTGGGGGGAGCAGATGCCTCATGCAGGAGATGGTTGGGCTGGTACCATCATCGTTTTCTCATTCTTATTACTAAGTTACTTACATTACTTATTATCCCAAATAAACAGCCCCATGGGATTGGTGCTCTTATCACTCCCACTTTACAGATTAGGAAACTGAGGTTCCTGTATAAAGAAACCTGGCCAAGGCTACAGGGCTGGAGATTTGCACCAGGTCCGCCTGACGTCCAGGTCTGCGTGCTTTCCAGGCCCCGAGCCAGGGGCTTGGGAGGGAGGGAGGGAGGGACAGAGCAAGGTGGCCCAGGTGCCGGGCCAGGGCTTCTGGTGGCAGAACCCCAGTCTCATTATCCACAATGTCCCTGGTGCTGGCTGTGGCCTCACACAGAGCAGCGGCTCAGGAAAACTGGGTTGGAGGTCAGGTTGCCTGGTGTTCAAAGACAGAGTTGGGGAAGTGTCCCTGAGCCTGCCTCTCAACCCCGCTCCGCAGGCCCCATTTGCACGTTCCTTCCCTGTGTGATAATGGACCTGGTGAATCTGTGTTCGTGATGTGCTCGGTACTTACTCTGTGCCTGGTTTTACATTAACCAGATCATACCTCTGATCTTCACCACAACCCCACAGGGAGAAGCTCTTATTCTTCCCAGTTTAAAGAGGAGGAAACTGAGGCTCAGGGAGACAGATTGCCCATGGCCATGCGGCCAGTCAGTGATGGGAACAGGATTAGACCTGGGAACAAGTCTGCCTGGTTAACATGAGATTTCTGGCTCATTCCAGCAACCAGGTGGGCACCAAGGCGTTTGCTTCATAGGAAGAAAAAATGACTGTCATCCAAGAAAATGCCTCTTCTTCAATAATAGTCATTTCTGAGTTTCTAAAAATATCATTGATTGAGCTTCGCTATGCACCAAATAGATGCCACGAACGTCCTGTATTTCATGATTTTAAAATTCTTAATGACTGTCTAAGGGAAATACGAATACGCTCACTTTATAGATGAGTTAACTGAGACTCCGAGGGGTCAAGGGCCTAGCCCACCCCACACAGCAGCTGCTCAGAGCAGGTGGGGTGGTCTGTGGTCCCGGGCACTTTGTAGGGGTGCAGACCCAGCCCCTTGACTTGAGGGAAAACCGCAGTGAGTAGCCAAGGCGGGTTCGTTCGCAGCTCTGGCCCCAGCCACCCAGAGGCGCAGCCCACGCCGCTCTCTGCCCAGGGAGCAGGACCGTCTCTGAACAGAAACTGCCTGGTTCTGTCTGCTCTTTAGTCTTTGGGGATCTGGGGGCTTTTCAACCCTAGGGCACAGGCTCTGAGGTTGAAATGGGCTTTGTCCTGGTCCTTGCTTTGTGAACCTTTACTTGCTTTGTGAACTTGGTCAAGTCAGTTCCCATCTCTGAGCCTCAGTTTCTTGATCTGTTCATGGGGCTTCAGGGCTGCAGTGGGGATTCAAAGCACTTGGTACAGTGGGTGGCACTCAGGTGTGCCCAGTGGGTGGCCAACACCACCATTGTGGGGACTGCAGGGCCCGGAGGGGTGAGGGAGCCCTACCCAGTCCTGCCTGCCCACACTGAGCACCAGGGCACCCAGCAGATCCCTCAGGGCCATCTCGGGGCTGGGACCAGAGGCCTCCACCTGTACCATTGAGGCCTGGGCTCCCCAGAGCCCCAAAGGGGAAAACTCAGGGACCTTGGGAAGTGGAGCTCCAGCTGCCGGACCTGGGAAAAGTCCCAGCTGGGCCAGGAGGAAGTTCTCCGCACTGCTCCCTGCGTTCCCTCCCCAAGGGCATGCTGTCCAGACTCTGGAAACCTCGAAGTCAGAAGGGGTCTTAGCAGCTGGCAAAAGCTTGGCTCCAGAGTCGGCCAGACCTGGGTGCAAATCCCAGCCCAGCTGTGGGATCTTGGGCAAGTGACTTTGCCTCTCTGAGCCTCATTTTCCTCATCTGTCGAGTGGATTGTGGGACACTTCCCTGAAGAATTACTCATAAAGTGCTTGGCACATACTAGTGCCAGTTAATGCTTATGTAGCAATAATTACCATCATTGTCACCATCACCATTATCAAAAGAAGTCCCAGGTCCAGGGTCCCTCCAGGTCCCCTCGGAGCTCTAGAACCTCTGAGATGACCGGGTCCCCTCCTTTGTCCTTCCCCTGCAACAGCAGGTTTAATGATCCCAAAGGAACTGGGTGACAGGGAACCCAGGCCATCCCTGTTCCCCAAGCCCTTCCTGCTGTCCTCATGGAACTGTCCTCAGTGGAAAGTGACTTCCATGTTTTGTTCCCATGATCTATTAAAGTACCTTTATTGAAATTTCCCCAGTTACGAAAGCTATATATTCTTCTTTTTCTATGTCATTTTTATTGTGGTAAAATATACATATCATAGAACTTGCCATTTTAACCATTTTTAAGTGTACAGTTCGGTAGCTTAAGTACATTCACGCTCTTGTGCAGCCACCACCATCCATCTCTGGAACCTTTCCATCTTCCCAACTGAACTCTGCACCCACTAAACATGAACTCCCTGCTCTCCCTCCCCCCGCCCCTGGCACCCACTTTCTGTTTCTATGAACCTGACTGGTCTAGGGACCTCATATCAGTGGCATCGTCCAGTACTTGTCTTCTCATGTCTGGCTTACTTCACTGAGCATCGTGTCCTCAAGGTTCATCCACGTTGTAGCGGGTGTTAGAATTTCCTCCCTTTTTAAGGCTGAATATGTCCCATGATATGGACAGAACACATTTTGTTTATCTGTTATCTGTCAGTGGACACTTCGGCTGTTTCCACCTGTTGGCTGTTGTGAATAATGCTGCTGTGAACACGGGTGCACAAATATCTCTTCAAGTCCCTGCATTCGTTTCTTTCGGGTCTACACCCAGCCGTGGAATAGCTGGATTAAATAGTAATTCTACGCTTAATTGTTTGACGAACCTCCGTACTGTTTTCCGCAGCAGCTGCACCATTTTACACTCCCACCAGCAGTGCACAAGCGTTCCAACTGCTCCACGTGTTCTTTGCCAGCCCTTTTTTTTTTGATAATAGCCACCCTAATGGGTGTGAAAAGCGGTACCTCACTGGGGCTTTGATTTGCACATCCATAATTAATGATGTTGAGCACCTGTTCATTATATTCCTTGTAGTAAGGGACATTCAAACAAGGACAAATGGTGAAAAAAGTGGGTGTCTCCCTTAAACCCCTTCCCCAGGCATAACCTCTGCTGCAGTTTGGGTCATGGGCTTCTGGACTTTCTCTGCACATAGTGACATATCGTATGTCTCTGATATGGCCTCCACAGCTTGGCCTCTTTCTTATGGCCCTGCTGGGCCTGATAGGCCGTGTCCCTCCCACCTCGGCCCCCCACAACCCTTTGCATCAAGCAGGAGGAGTTAAAAAACCAGAACCAGCTTCCCCAGCCATGCAGCACCCCCTGCCCCGGCCCACCGGCTCCTGATCTCGGGGACAGCTTAGGCGACGACCTGCCCACGAGACTTGTATAGCCTGTCCCCAGTTGATGGATACTTAGACTGATTCCAAACCTCCACTGGCAGGAGCTCTCCTGCTGGAGATGCCAGCTCAGCTCTGCAGACATGGAACGTTCCCCCCCCCACCGCCACGTCTCCCCCACAGCTTCACTTCTCATCATCTCAGTGGGGCTCAGTGACACGGTCATCGGTCCCTCCAGGCAGCCTTTGGCCACCCCCAGAGTGGGTCAGGGCCCCCCTATGCACTGTCACGGCAGCTCCCCTTGTAGCTAATACAAGAGATGAAAGAAGAGGGGCACCACCGGGGGGTCCTGTTCCTCATCGTCCCTCCAGGCAGAGCCCGGTGCTCAGCTGAGTGAATAATGGCAGCAGCAGGCTTCCACGCCCACGACCTTGAGTTCTTTTCACTCTGACAGTCCTTGCAGACAGACAAAGCCAGGCTTGGCACCCGGGTTCTTCAGGAGAGAACATGGAGACCGGCAGAGTTATAGAGC